GTCTCCAGGGCTGTCAAAGCAGCATTAAACGAATGAAAATAAATGTAGAGGAGGAATAAAAGCAAGAGACAGACAATCAGGTTGTGCACAATAATATTTGGATTTAAATATGCATGTAAATTAAAATGCAAATTAGGCACAGCCCTCCAGTGCCTGGCAAACTGCCATGTGGCTTTTGAAGTTATGCAGGTGGAAATCGCTGCTGTATCGCAATCTCAATACAAACTAACCGCTCCCCCTCCCCCTTCACAGTGGCAGTTTCACCACAGCTAGCTGCTCCATTTGTTTGGCTTCCTTTCCCTGCGGTTTCTTTCAGAGATGCTGAGCTCCATGTGACAGCTCTCTCCAACCAGCATCCTTCCTGCATCACACTTTCCTGAAGACCTTCAGCAAAGGTGGTGGTGACAACAGCAGTGGGGTGAGGGGGAGGGGAACAACATGAGAACCCGGACGAGTCACTGACAGCTGGATCTTAAGGGAAATAAAATCTCAACAACAAGCTAGAGGCAGGCACAAGGGGTTAATTGCTTCTGGTCTGTTTTCAAGGCTTCACTCTAGGGGTAGCAGGGGGCTGGGGCAAAGGGGAGTTTCCATGAACATCATGTTGCAGCATCATGCGTGACCCAACCTCTAGGAGCATTTCCCAGCTAGAGGAAGCAGGGCATCAATCCAGGTGTCACAACTGCCAAGAGAGACAGGGGCAAGAGCCACTGCAGGGGCACAGCTGCAGCGAGCCTAGAGACCCGGCAGTTTCACCTGCAGGCAGCCGCACATCTCCAAGGGGAACACACTTTGCTCTGCAGTGCAGAGACAACTGGGGAGGACGGCAGTTCCTAGTCCTGGCTCTCGGACAAGAACTCGAGTCTGTGTTTGCAGCCCTTGGCTCCCTTGGGCAGGAAGCAGCTGAGTCACCAAGCTATCATCGCCCTCCAAATCAAAGCTAGGTTCTTTTAGTCACGGGGCCAAATTCACCCCTGGTGTAAATCCATCCCGTTTCCAGCTCCCAACGGGATGGATTTGTTTAAGGGGAGAGCTTGTTTTTCTCTTGCGTTGTTTCGTTCTGTCTCAGGTCCACGTGCAGCTTTGAAGCGATTTCCTCCCACACCAAACTCAATCCCAGGGAAGGACAGTCTGGGATGACAGGTCTGTCCCACGGCCCCTTCAACACAGATGAGAGAAGCCACCTACCAAGACCCCACTGGGTAAGGGATTATCCAGTTTCTTTTCTGTGGGGCTCAGCCGTGGCCTGCCTCTCTGCACTCACATACAGGCCCTGGGCACATCTCTTTCAGGACGGCAGCCCATTACAGTCCCCACCCTGCTAGCAGATCCAGTTGTACTACGACTCGGAGCTATGAAAAAATCAGACCTCATGGGCCTCACTTGGAATGGTGAGTCCTCACCTCCTCATCAGAGCAGGCTTTCCTGCATTATCACTCTACTAGCTTGGACACAGAGCATCAGCTGAGCTGAGAAGTCCTAGCCTTTGTATCATGGCAACCAGTGGTGCCCTGGGGGCTTTTAAGAGTGGGGAGCAGAGCAGCCCCCACCCCAGCCACTCCTTCCATCTTGGAAAGGGAAGGGAAGCATCTCATTACCCCCCAAAGACTGTGTGTGTGTTTGGGGGGGATTAAGTAGTAACACCTTCTCAGGGGGTTCCGAGAAGCCTTCTTTCTTTCTCCTACCACTGAAGGGACCCCCCTTGGCTCTCAAAGTCCACGGCTTCTCCAGACAACAGCTCTGCTCGCTTTGCCCACGCTCAGCAAGCAGGGTGCCGATCAGTGCCCCTCCCGCCACAGGGCTGAGGGGGCAGGACGCTCCCCCGCTGCCAGGTAGGACAAACAATGGGCAGTCCCATAAAACGCCAGACCTCCGACGGCTCCACTAGGCCCCAGCAGAGAGCGCTCCTCCAGAGTGGGCCCTACACAGCCATTCACAGGGAGGCAGTGCCCCACAATGGGGTCTGGCTGGGAAAGTGGCCCAAGGAGCCGTGATTGCATAGGCAGCTTAGAGTTCACAGTGGAGAGCGGCTAAGATGTCAGTGAGGGAGGGGGAAAGGTGCTGGGGCTCGATGGGAGCAGCGGGGACGTTGCACTAGCTCTCGGATATGCATCCGAAGAAGTGGGTTGTAGCCCACGAAAGCTTATGCTCTAATAAATTTGTTAGTCTCTAAGGTGCCACAAGTACTCCTGTTCTTTTAGCTCTCGGGCGGTAAATCTGAGCTGGGAAAGAAGAGGACCAGGAGAATGAGATTTTCAACTTAATTTCTCGGCTCTTTTTTTGGACTCGGGGCCTCCCTGGGCTTGAAAGCCCCCTTTGTATCAATCCCACCGAGCATGGCTGCCTTGTTCTGTAAATCGTACCCCAGACAGCTGTGTTGTTGTGTAAACCTCACCCTCAGCAGCTGTCTTGGGATTCTGGAGCCCCCTTTGTGTTAAAGACACCCCCACTTCCAGGCAGCTGTCCAGGGATTCTGCAGCTTAGACGCTGTCTCCAGTCCCTACCAAAGGACCCGATCCTGCGTGGTGTTGTGCTCAGCGTCAGTGGGAGCGGAGAGGGCTCTGCGCCTCGCTGAAGGAGCTCCACGCCTGGCAGGATCAGACCCACTGAGCATCTCACTGAGCGGATGGTCTCTCTGGGGTTACTCAGGTTATGTTAAACCCGGAGAGGGATGGGGCAAAGTGGATTGGCCTGCAGTGCATTTATGGCTTATTCTGCTGTTTCTTAGATGTCACTCAGCCACAGACAATCAAAGTTTGTCTACTGTGTTAACTGCAGCTGTCCTAGGCGGCTTCCCCGCCCTCCATCCCACCAGGGCTGTTCCTCTCTTCTTACAAAGGTTACACACAGTTGGGATAAGGGGGACTTCACCATTTCCTCATTCCACATATTGTAAACTCTGTGGGCTCATGGTTAGCGCAGGGGACTGGGAGTCAGGATTTGTGGGTTCAAAGCCTGGCTCTGCCACTGACTCACCCTCAGATCTTGGGCACGTCACTTGCATCAACAACGTGGCCTCTCTTGGCACCTCAGCTTTTGGGCGCCCAACTTGATGTGCTTTGAGCCTGATTTTCAGAAGCCCTGAGCATCTGCAGCTCCCATTAAGGTCAGTGGGAGCTGAGCTCCTGCCCCTGCTGCAGCCTGTCCAATGGCAGAGACCCACTCCTCACGCGCTCGCACCCAATTGCTAAAAAATGCCCTTCAGCACCACCGGCCTCATGCCCTAGGACAGGTGGGGAGGGAGGGCTCGCTAGAGATCAGGGAGTCTCACAACAGGTCAGGAATGGTGGGGGTCAGAGGGAAGCAGAGTCATCAAAGGTACATGGAAGCGAAAGGGGAGTGAGCTGGATGGGGCTCTGTGCAGTTGACTTCACACAGGGCCCTCCTGGGGCTAGGCCCAAGCCTGGGGAGGGGCCCAGCACAGCTTTGGTATCAGATAACATGGCTTTCCTGTTTCCATGGAAGCTTTTGAATGGGAGGTCAACTGGAGCAGTACTAACACCTGAGAGGCCAGGTCCTCAGACCAAGGCACATTTCTGCAGCCCCGGCGTAATGCCAGTGAACGGGTCCAGCAGCCAATGGCAGAATGTGTGTGTGTGATTCCTCCCCCCCCCCCACATTCTCTACTTGTCCAAGTGCTACTACAGACCAGGTCTCCCCCAAGCAAAACCACCCTAACAGCCTCTGCTGGCAGCTGTCGCTCCCACAACCAAGCAGCCCAGTTTGAGGCGCAGAGCAGGGGCGGCAGGGAGGTTCCTGACAGGTAATGGCAGAAGCCGCAGGAGGCCTGGACACCCCTGGCAGGGTCTGCGTGCGACAGGCTTGGAACAGGCTCCGGGGCGGAAAGGGGAGGGCACGAAGAAGAAGGCAGCTCTTCTATCGTCTCCAACCACTGTCCCGAGCTAACAAAGCAACTGAACAATAGCACTGGACAGGCCGACAGACGTTGCCTTGTAAGGCAGTCTGGTTAACTCCTGGCTGGACTGAGCTGAGTTGGGGGGCGAGAGAAGGGCGGGCTGCGTAACTCACTGGCCACACAAAGACCGCCCAGGGGCCCGTTTCAGCTGTAACACTCCACCCCACAATGGATCCATTTGCGTGGAGAAGAGCAGGGTGAGGAGGGAAGGTCATGGCCTCCAATGCCAAAGCTGCACCTAGCAGAGGAGGGGACTGAGGAATGGAAAAATAATCAAAGAGCTGGAACAGAACAAAATCTCTTTAAAACAGAAGGGGGGGGAGGGAATAAAGGCCCCGGCGCCGCTGCGGGAGGGGAGCCAGCTTCAATGCCTAATGCAGGATTAATCAAAAACAAGATAGAGCTAATGTAAAACAGGGCTCCAATTTCACAGTGGCTCCAGTCCATGACACAATTACAGCATCTGGTTACAGGGGCCAGAGGGAAAGAGCTCCTGATTCCTGCTAAGAGAGAGGCTGGGTGGCTGCCCCAGCAGGACAATAATTGCTGACACAGTACTGGAGTCCCACAAGCATCAGCACCGCAACGAAACAGCAAGCAATGCAATGCAGGCGCCATGTCTGCACCTTCCACGTCACCCCAATGGCTGCTTTTCTTAAGGAGACACGGTCAAGGCGGGTGGGCCCAAGATTAGGGTCAAAAATGTTAGCAGTGTCCCATTTTACAAGCCTGGCAAACAGCTGAGGTAAGGGGGGAGGGGGATATTTTCTCATTCTACTTGCAGCAAGCTTTGTGGTCTCATGGGGCCACTTAATGAAAATTCTGCAGTGCCCCCAGCAGTTCAATAAGACTCAATAAATCCAAGCATAACAGACCCGTGACTACATTCATTCAGACACCAGCGGGTACAAAACCCGGGACCTTCAGCACCAGACCTCACCACATGAGCGAAGGGAGCAAGGGTTAGCTGTGAACAAGTAGCAGGCTGTTGCCCCCCTTGTGGGACAGCCACTAGAGGGAGACATAGGCAGACATATACTTTAGCCAGGATGTTACACAAGCATGTGCCCAGGGCTCTACTTACCCTCTGGACTCTTTGGAGGGATTTCAGCCATTACTGGTTGCGGCTTTGATTCTGGTTGGAGATGTTGACTGGTCAAGGAAGGCTCCAAATTCTCCACTTGCCTGACAGGTGGGACTGGGACCTCTGGAGACTTTGCCACCTGGATTTCTACCCGTTTGGTGGCAACGTCCGGCACAGGGGCACTGGCTGTGTCGGCTCTCCGCTGGGGCAGCTCCGGGATCTTTGAGGTGGGGGCTTCCATCCTCCGGACAGCGGGCTCCTGAGGCTTGCCTATAGTGATCTCAGTCCTTCTTGGAGTGGGCTCAGGGGGTTTGTGCCCCAGCCCCTCTGCTCTCTTGAGGCCGAACCTTGATAACCCTGGAGTGGAGTTTTCCACTTGCTTGGATGAGATATCAATGGAGATTTCTGTTCTTCGTGACACAGGCTCAGGGAGTTTGGGTCCGGAGAGCTCCACCCTCCTCAGAGACGACTTAGGCGACCTTTGGCCTGGAGAGTCTGCATGTCTGGCAGGTGTCTCTGAATTCCTGGCACTGAGATCCTGGAATTTCTGTGTGGAGCTGGATACGGTGGACCTGAGGAGAGGGTTCGGGGTCCGTCTTTGCGGTGTGGAGGAGTTTGGAGACTGGTCTACCTCCTCGACCTCGAAAGATCGCTTCAGAGCTGAAATACATGAACGGAATTCAGAATTTAACAACAACTGCATTTTCATGAGAGGATCACAGCACACTTTACCAATGTTCATGAACTTTCAAGACCTCCCCCCCATTCAAGAGGTGGGTAAGGATCAGTACCCCCGCTGAACACATGGGGGAACTGAGAAACAGAGAGCTTATGGAACTTACCCAAAGAATCACAGCGAGTCAGTGCCAGAAATAAGACTAGAATCCAGGAATCCCTATTCCCAGAAATCTAACCACTCAACATGTAGGCCTTGCAACTTGAGTATCTTTTACACCTCTAGTACAGGTTGCCACCTTATTAGTATTCTCCACTCACCCTAGGGGTAATGTTTTGTCTCCTGCTTTGCACAGCTATAAATGACTTCACAAGGTACAAGGCAGCCTGGAACCAGGTCCTAATGGGGGCCTGCTGGCTGGCTTTAGCTTGGTTACACTCCGAGTAGCCAGCCACTGCGATTCCACCTCAAAGGGCGCAGAGGTACATATACAACTTCTGAGGGTCGAGTGGGTCACTTGGAGCAAAGTAATCCAAACCCACCCTCATGAAAGTGTCCAAAACAACTGTAGAAGACCAGGAAATCCCCGATAAACATACCACTGAGAGAGATGCTTATGTTATATTTTAATAACAAGGGATCAGACGCTGAATAAATCTTCTATAACAATACTTTGTATTTCTCAAGAGCCTTCTACCCAAGGATCGCAATGCGCTTTTAAAACGTTAAGGAATTTAGCTTCACCACAGCCACTTTGGGGCAGGGTTGTGCCGGTGGGGCCTCTAGACGCTATTACAGAACCAACCATGATCAGCCTCATTTTACTGATGGGGAAACTGAGGCACAGAGCTGCTAAGTGATTCATCCAGCATTGCACACCGACAGTGAGTTCTGGTTCTCAGGCTTAGGCTTCAGTGTGAGCTTAGCATGGAGTGCTTTGGTTTAAGCAATAGACTGCAGAATGTCTTTACACCACTGCTTTCAGTCATTCGCATACCAGAGCTGAGTAATCAGCCTGTCTGAGAGGCGCTACAAAGCTGCATGTTATTGGAAGTGAAGTTTTCTGGTGTTCTAGCTGTCCCAGTCTCAAGGGGCCCACAGCATTCCCGCTGGCCCCTTTAACACATGGAGACAGTTTTCCCACTAAGAAGGCAACTCTGAAATCCACGACCCAGGAACCTGTCTGGGGAAAGCCAATAAGTATTGCGTGGCCCCAGAAACCTGAGTTCGCTGGACCTGCACTTCAGAAATCAAAGGAAGCACAGAGTATCCTGGCAGGCTGGGTCCATCCACATCAATCCATCTCTCTTCCACCAACTATTATTATAAACTCCTCCAACCTGATGATCCCACCCCACAATAGCCCAGGGTCAGCCCCTGTCAGATCCCAGCCTGGTTTGCGTCAGACTGGCCAGGCATGACTGACCCTGCCCACCCCTGGTGTTAGCCCCTGTTAAAGGAATAGGCACCTGATGAGAAGGCATCAACTCCACGGCCCCATACAGTGGGTCCCTGTATGTCAGGCACAGGGAGCAAGAGGTGAACAGCACACGCACAGCAGGAGGGAAAGTGGGAGAGGGAAAGAAGAAAACCTAGCTACTCTCGATTACTCAGCCTCCCTGTGCTACAGTAATGCCCTAAAACCCACTTACTTCACAGCACAGCACCCTTAGCCAGGGGACCAGAATGCATGGAAGAGAAACAAGCCCTGGTGTCTCCCCACCTGCCACATGCAATGACAGGGACAGGCCAAGGAGGTGTGGAGAATGCATCAGCACCAAATCCTGCTTCCCCTCTGTGCATGAGCTCCTTGGGGTTGGGACTCCACTGAAATTTGAGAGCAACAGAAGGTGGAGTCAGCATGCAGCTGCATGAGCCCTTCCAAACCTGATGGATGCTCTGACCAGGAGCAGCTGCCTAAAGCAGCCTTAGCTCTTGCTGGGTCCCCTAGGAGCCTGCTACTGTGCAATTGCAGAGACAGGGACAAAGGGCAAGAGAACCTCAGGACAGATCAGTGTCTTTCTAGTCAGAGTTAGGTCTGCTACCTGCCAGCTCCTCCTTAGAAAACACAGGGCCAGTCTCGGAAATAGCAGCCCTACCGTGGCGGCATAGCGAATAGGGGGGGCCATCTGCCTTTCTGTAATAGGATGGCTATTGAATGGTGCCTGCTGCCCTGCCCCCCAGATCAGGGTGCACTTACTCCTTTATCTCAACAACAATTAGGCAAAGGACCAGGTGCTGCAATACTCATGTCGGAGTCTGGCCCATAAACGACGACACATACGCTGCTCAGGAGTTGTCCCATCAGCTTGGTCCCATATATCCCAGAAGCAGAGGTGCTTGTCCTGACTATGAGGCATAGAATCATAGACTTTAAGGTCAGAAGGGACCATTATAATCGTCTCGTCTAACCTCCTGCACAACGCAGGCCACAAAATCTCACCTACTCACTCCTGTAACAAACCCCTAATCTATGTGTGAGCTACTGAAGTCCTCAAATCGTGGTTTAAAGACTTCAAGGTGCAGAGAATCCTCCAGCATGTGACCCGTGCCCCACACTACAGAGGAAGGCGAAAAACCCCCAGGGCCTCTGCCAATCTGCCCTGGAGGAAAATTCCTTCCCGACCCCAAATATGGCGATCAGCTAAACCCTGAGCATGAGGGCAAGACTCACCAGCCAGAATTCTCTGTAGTAACTCAGATCCCACCCCATCTAACATCCCATCACAGACCATTGGGCATATTTACCACTAATAGTGAAAGATCTATTAATTGCCAAAATTAGGCTATCCCATCATACCATCCCCTCCATAAACTTATCAAGCTTAGTCTTGAAGCCAGATATGTCTTTTTCCCCCACTGCTCCCCTCGGGAGGCTGTTCCAGAACTTCACTCCTCTGATGGTTAGAAACCTTCGTCTAATTTCAAGTCTAAACTTCCTGATGGTCAGTTTATATCCATTTGTTCTTGTGTCCGCATTGGTACTGAGCTTAAATAATTCCTCTCCCTCCCTGGTATTTATCCCTCTGATATATTTATAGAGAGCAATCATATCCCCCCTCAGCCTTCTTTCGGTTAGGCTAAACAAGCCAAGCTCTTTGAGTCTCCTTTCATATGACAGGTTTTCCATTCCTCGGATCATCCTAGTAGCCCTTCTCTGTACCTGTTCCAGTCTGAATTCATCCTTCTTAAACATAGGAGACCAGAACTGCACACAGTATTCCAGATGAGGTTTCACTAGTGCCTTGTATGACGGTACTAACACCTCCCTATCTCTACTGGAAATACCTCGCCTGATGCTTCCTAAGACCGCATTAGCTTTTTTCATGGCCATATCACATTGGCGGCTCATAGTCATCCTGTGATCAACCAATACTCCGAGGTCCTTCTCCTCCTCTGTTACTTCCAACTGATGTGTCCCCATATTATAACAAAAAATCTTGTTATTAATCCCTAAATGCATGACCTTGCACTTTTCACTATTAAATTTCATCCTATTACTCCAGTTTACAAGGTCATCCAGATCTTCCTGTATGATATCCCAGTCCTTCTCTGTATTGGCAATACCTCCCAGCTTTGTGTCATCCGCAAACTATATTAGCACATTCCCACTTTTTGTGCCAAGGTCAGTAATAAAAAGATTAAATAAGATTGGTCTCAAAACCGATCCCTGAGGAACTCCACTAGTAACCTCCCTCCAGCCTGACAGTTCACCTTTCAGTAAGACCTGTTGTAGTCGCCCCATTTAACCAGTTCCTTATCCACCTTTCAATTTTCATATTGATCCCCATCTTTTCCAATTTAGCTACTAATTCCCCATGTGGAACCGTATCAAATGCCTTACTGAAATCGAGGTAAATTAGATCCACTGCGTTTCCTTGTCTAGAATGTATTAATTCCAGAGTGGAGGAGAGGAATATGCTGTTGTTCAGCAAACACCTGAATTCCCAGTGGCCAGATACATCCCTAGTTCACACACATTCTCTCAGGTACTTATCTGGGCCACATCCCTGTGGTATCGAAGCACCACACAGTCTTTAGTAAAAAGAACGAGGAGTACTTGTGGCACCTTAGAGACTAACAAATTTATTTGAGCGTAAGCTTTCGTGGGCTAAAACCCACTTCATCGGATGCATGCAGTGGAAAATACAGTAGGAAGATATATACACACAGAGGACATGAAAAAATGGGTGTTGCCATACCAACTATAACGAGAGTAATCAGTTAAGGTGGGCTACTATCAGCAGGAGAAAAAAAACTTTTGTAGTGATAATCAGGATGGCCCATTTCCAACAGTTGACAAGAAGGTGTCAGTAACAGTAGGGGGGGAAATTAGCATAGGGAAATAGGTTTCCATGAGGTAGGGAAGGGCTACTCTCCCCGTTACACAGGGGGAACTGAGGCACAGCGGCACCAAGGGTACATCTAAATTACAATCGCAAGGTGTGATTACAGCTAGTGCCGATATACCTGATCTAGATTTAATTTAGCTATCTTGGGCCCTGGAAGCCATGGCAACATGAGCTGTACAGAACCCAACCAGAAACCTGGTAATTCCTCCCAGGACTAGCTCATGCCACTGCATCTTACTGTTCTGGGACCCTTGCTAGCTAGATTACAGCTGGCTCTGCTCTGTCATCCTGAGCTAGAATCCTTGTGCCTGCAGTACAGACATACCCTAAGTGCCCAAGGTCACACAGGAAGCCTCTGGTGGGGCAGGGAATGAACCCTGGTCTCCAAGTCCTAGACCAGTGCCCTAACCACTGGACCATCCTTCCCCTCCTTTCTCCTTTAGAAAAACTCTTACAAATGTTTCCCTGCAGCAGAGCGTGGATCCCCTGCATTCTGTCTCCTGGGGGAAGCTCTTTGAACGCCTGAACCCAGAGGAGAGGGAAGAGAGGCCTGTGAACTCTCAGTCCGTCTGACACATGTATTTGTCAGAGCAGCAGCCTCCCCGCTCAGCAATGGGAACCATCTGCTCCAG